CTCATCTGAAACCAGTCCCCCATGGGTGACCCTGATGGTTATTTAAAATACCGGTGGCATAGCTTTCAGAATCATAGCAACTCACAAGCCACCACAGTACGACAAACTGACATTTTTGCTCTTTAACACTCTCAAAAGGTTTTGTCGTAAGGACACTAGAGTACTGGAAATGGTACAGTCAGACTGGAATGAGTATGAGGACACACTATGGATAAGGTAACCAATATCACGGAATCATTTGCCTTCTGTTGTTGTAAAATGCTGTCAGTTCCGTCTCATAGCAAGTCTTTATAGGGTTTCCATGATTGTAAATCTTTGCGGGAGCAGAAAGCTTCATCTTTCTCCTCCAGAGCAACTGATAGCCTCAAAGGGCCAACTTCGTGCTTATCCTACGGAGTCCAGAAATTGTTACAAGGGAACCTAACTTGCTGCGTATACTTTCACCTTAAACATTAAAATATTATTTTAAAAAAGACTGAATGACAAACCACTTATTTAAATGAGGATACATGGTAGACATTTTCTCAAAAGTCAAACAAGTGAGTCAGTCACTTTAAGAAAAACAACTGTCAGTGTTTGGTGTCAGTGATAAATGTCAGTTTTCAAGTAAAAACTGTAATTTCGGAAAACATATTGTTTGGAAAATCATTATGAGCTTGACAGCTTTACATGACTTCAAGATCATCTCTATGTGTAATGACACATTTTAACATTTTGAAGACCTACATAACTCAGTGAACCAATACATATTACCAAATTATGCATGATAAAAGTCACTAAAAAATCAAGATATCACAATATATTTTAATAATTACAAAAATGCTGTTTAGTAGGGTTTCTGAATTCCATATGGCAAATAATGCCTACAAACCATCATTTGTTGAGTTTTAGTGCAATATCATATCAAAGAATAACCATTATTACCTGAAAAAGATATGAAAATAACTCCTCTCCTTTTTTAGTACATATCCATGTGAGGCTGGATTTTTTACTTCAATCCACACAGCATACCTTAATAGACTGAGTGTAGAAGTAGAAGAATTCTTTTAAGCCAGAGGTTCAAAAGATGCAAAGCAAATGCAAAGCAATACCATTCTTCTCACGAACTTAATTTTTAAATTTCTAATACAGTAAATATTGATACATACAGCTCCAATAACAAAAGCTCTTTGGGGTCTTCCAGAACTTAAAGAGTCGTTAAGGGGTCCTAAGACCGTAACAGATGGAAAACCACTGCCCTAAAGTGAACTGTTCCCTGAGTAAATGGGGTTATTTCTTATATTAATGACTGGGGATCACTCCCCTGTCACTCTACCACATAGTGCTAGTTTTAAGTGAAGTTCACGGTTACTTTTATGTACACCATAAGGAGATCTTTTCTTCTTGGTGTGTTCAATGCCTAGCTTAGTCTCTGAATAGAACAGCCACTTTCCTGAGTCATCACTGTGGCTTTTAAAAGGTAGCATTAGAAGCACTGCATTACATACAGTCCTCCAAAATCACTGGTTTTCAAATTGTGGAGCACAAACCATTAGCAATGATTTTATCACCAGATACAATAAATAGATCACAAGCAAGATTTTGTTACTTAAATTTTTTTTTTTTTTAAAAAAAGAAAATATCCTTACTATATTCCAGGACACTAATAAGAACTTGTTTATGAAATTTCTGTTTCACTGAATCAGGATTTAAAGTGTTTTCGTTACTATGGAGTGCAACAGAAAACTGTCAAAGCCACTCCTCCGGATCACATTTCAACAGTTTTCCCTGATAAACAAGCACATCATGCTTTCTGTTGAACTCACGTAGCACACAACAAAAGAATACTGTCAGAGGCTACAACAAAGCATTTTTGGTACGGCTGCTGTATAAGTTTACTTTTATGGCCCCAAGCAGTTTGCCGTGCATCGAGCCATCTGTAAACCAATAACCCAGAACCAAATTTGGCTTCTACTGGACATTTTACAACAAAATAAATGTGAATGCTTTCAAGTACGGCACACACACTCCAGACTGCCACAAACCCCACTTGTCCCCATCTCACAGTTACCTACCTGGACCCTATGAGACTGGCGTTTGCACCAGATGACAGAAGCAGACTATCGAGTAACTGCCGCTGCTGCTCCGTGCCGTCGAGTCGGTTCTGACTCACAGTGACGCTCTATGAGCCAGGGTCTCCAAGGCTACTGTAAATCTTTGACAGAGGAAAAGGCCTCATCTTTCTCCCATGGAGTAGCTGGTGGATTCGAACTGCTGGCTTTGTGATTACCAGTCCAACACGTCACTCACTACTAATGGTAAGCAATGTAAGCAACTCTACAGCACTGGAAGTCCTGGTGTGGGCTGGGGGATAGAGCGCTGGACCACAAGATCGGTTTGAACCACAAGGTTGGCAGTTCAAACTCATCAGCCGCTCCGTGGAAACCCCATACAGGGTGTCTGAGTTGGAAACCACTCAACAGCACTTAACTAACACCACCACTGCCACAACACCCTACTAACTGAAGGCCCGCCCTATATAAGCAAAAATACCTGGGAATGTGTGTTGTCCAGACACCAGAGTGAGGAGCTTCTCTTGTTCTTCCATGAGTCTTTGGAGCTGCTCTAATTGTTGCCTCTTCAGTTGTTCCTGCTTCTTCTGCTGTACTTCTTTCAACTTTTTAAACAAAAAATGAACTTTATTAAATGAAGATTACATTTCCTCACAAAACTCTGCTTCTTACATTTACCTTTGACTCCCTCTAACTCTGGTACATAGTGGTTATGAACTGGGCTGCTAATCTCACGGTCAGCAATATGAAACTACTAGCTGTCCCGCAGGAGAAAGATGAGGCTATCTGCTCCCGTAAAGATTTACAGCCTCGGAAACCCTGTACAGGGTCGCTATGAGTCGGAACTGACTCCACGGCACAAACAACAACTCCTTTCAAAGAGGGATTCCTACGTAACGCAAGCTGCTACCAAACATCCCCTATCTCATAAAGCTAACCTTATTAATCACCTCCATTAAAAATAGGGACATAACGGTGACTGTCACAACCATATAGGTAGAAGTTTGTAACAAAAAGAAGGGAGTTAGTTAATCTTACAATCCAGGAACGGAGGACCCTAGGACCATCAAGGGAGAAGAGCATAAGTGGACTATGGGGCCCTATCCAGAGAAGCAGCGACACCAGAGATGGAGGCAGAAATGAGGGCATGGAGAAATAGAGCAGCTGAGGACTCTAGACTCATGGAATAAGAAGAGAAGGACTAAGAACTGGTGGCCAGGAGCAGACTTGCAGTATGTGTCCTTTGGTTGTTTAAATGATTATATATTCCTGAGAGCTTTTGTGTATTCTCCACCCTACCCTCCAAAAAATCAAAACAGAGGGAATAGAATCAAATACTGTTGAATGCACAGAGGAGATTGTAATCATTGCAACGAAATGGTAAGTGTTCCCCCGTGTAAACTAATCACTCAATTCACAATAAAAACTTAAATTGGAACAGCTGTACAAGCACCAACCCTTCGATTCTTAAAGAAGGGGACGCAACAGTATGTTTGTGATCATCAGCTTTTTTCTCTGAATTTTTATCAACCATTTCTAATTTATTTCTACCAAATGGGGTAGCAACCTAAAAGACATTCAGTGTTATGTGTCTATCTTACATATGAAAAATGCTTCAGGGTTTCACATTAGGTGAAGGGGAAACGTTCAGAGTGAGGAGGGAGAAGCAAGCAGCAGACATGGAAGAGGTGACTTATTGACAGGAACAGAGACCTGCAGAAACACAAATATATCATCATGCTCTACCTGTTCAAGTTTTTTAAAAAGTGGGTCTTTGTAAGCCGTTTTCTTGAATTCATTTGCATGATCTGGGATAAAGTCATGTGTTTTATCTTCCCAGTGTACAGGAACATCCTGATGTGCCACTATTTGTGGTTCCTGTTTAGTTACAGGAGAAACTGCATGTGTTTTAGATTGATCTGACTGGAGTTTGTAAGAGAAGTTAGACTCCAACTTCTGTTCTTCATGGAGTGAATCTTCTTCACTTATAAAGCTGAAGCTATTTGAAAACTGCGTGGCTTTAATAGGAAAACTGGAAGAAAGGACCACAGCTGCTTGACTGTCTCCATCTGCTTCCAAAACAGGAAATTCACGATTTAATATGACCCCAGCCCGAGAAGGATTGGTTATCCACTGGGTTAAGAAGTTCTGCCCACTGTTCAGTTCCGAAGAAGATGGCATCAGGAACATTTTAGTCCAACAATGCTGCTCCAGTGAAGTAATGCAAAACTCTAGAAGAGCTACTGGTTTCCAGTACCTGTAGACAGAAGATGGTCAAGAAAAATTAGTTACAGATACTAGATTTTTTTACCCCAAACTACCCAAACCTCAACCTGGAATGAAAATGTACTAAGTATTTTTTAAAGTCCTAAATATCCAAAATTGAGTAGCTCAAATAACCTGAGATCCACCTAATAACTGTTTAGCTGAGCTAGTTAAAAATGTGTGCCGTGCACACACGGTCTTTGAAGAGCTCTCTGTATGGAATCAAACTGTAAACAGTAAGTTGTATGATTAAATAGGAACGTCAGGGGCTATGACTGTATGTTGATGGGGGAAGAACAACTCAGAAAGGAGAGCAAGAATTCTTGTCAAACGTGAAGACTAAAATGGACGCCACTGAACTGTACAGGCGGAAACTGTGGACGCTGGAGTTTTACTATGTACATTCTCAGCCCTAACAAAAAACAAAAAACCTTAAAAGCACTACTGAATCCAATCATCCAATCATAGTGATCTTATTTATGCAAGTGATAAATCAGTTCACCTAACATTATGGGTGTTAAAAACATAATCTAAGTTAAGTACAAAAAAGCCCAAAGTCAGAACAGTTGCCCTGCCTTCAAAGGGAATAGAAAGTGTTCGTTATCTTTACCTAGGCTATTACTACACTGGTGTATGTAAATTTTGGCAGCACACTTAAGATAAATGCTCCTTACTAGAAGCATGTCATTCCTGAATCATTTTTAAACCTGTTTTAAGAAAACTAATTCTAATTACTTTTTAGCTGGAAGTCTCTATCTGAAGCTAAAAGCTTTTTACCAAAAGCCTCCAGGTAAGCTTAGTTAAATTTCAATGGTCCTTGGCAGGAAACTTTTTGAAGTATAAATTTAAGAAAGACATAAGCTGAAAGGTCATTTTATAAGATCAAAAACGACAAAAAGAACTTCCCCTAAGAATAGCATCAAGAAAAGGATATCCAAGCTCCCATTGTTATTAATATTATACTGGAAGGCTAGTCAGAGCAATTCGGTAAGAAAAAGATGTAAGATACATCTAAATCAGGAAAAAAGGAGCAAACTATCCCTACTGGCATATGACATGATCATAAACACAGAAAATCCAAAAGAATCTATAAAAAAAAACAAACACTAAGGTTCATAAATGAATTTAACAAAATAGCAAGGTACAAGGTCAACACACAAAAATCTGGGTTTCCATATGTTAGCAAGGAGCAATCTGAAAAGGAGATTAAGAAAACAATTCCATTTACAATAGCGCTTAAAAGAATAAAACACTTAAGAATAAATTTAACCAGGGGGTTAGAAGACTTGTACACTGAAAACTATAAAACAATGATGACAGAAATTAAAGAGCTAAATAAAGAGAGCGCCCCTGCTTGCTGAATTATAGCGACTTAGGTATTGCTGTAATGTTGGAGCCCGTGTCAAAACAGGGACGGCAGACCGGGCATGCACTTCAGCTTCCTCTAACTTCACAAGCGGGAGGAAGAAACAAGGTCAAAATAGCTGCCCTCTGGAGGCTGGTCAGCATTCTGAAGCCAACCACCGTCCCTCAGCACTGCTGCTCTGCTGGGTTTAACCCTTTGTCGTAAGGGCCACACACAACTACCCTACCACACTTACAATTACAGGGCTTATTAGGGTAGTGACAGGTCACAATTCAGAAGCAGAAACTACTCAGGGTACAATTCTTCCATCATGGCAGCATCTCAAACACAGCTGCAGGCAGCCCTCACCTCTCAGCAACTTGGTCCAGAGTCTCCTCTGCTTAGGCAAATGTTATAAAACTTCATAGCTCCGCCAATAAGCATTCAGGGTCACTCCACTTCACCAGCAAGCCTTGTCCGAGGCACTCAGTTCTCTCACCCCATGGGTTGGCATGCCTAGCTCCACCAACAAGCCTGGAGGCACCACACACAGCCTCCTGTCCATGGACCTCAGGTCTCTGGCTGCGTGGGTCAGAACACTCACCATCGCTGCTTTACTCCATGTGCGTCATCTCGTGCCCTGGTTCTGCTGCTGCTGTTTCTCTATCACTACTTCTCACAATCTTACACAGCCTCTGCTTTTACAACTCTGCCTACAAAGAGCTCTGGTAACGTAGTGGTTGTGAATCGGGCTGCTAACCTCAAGGTCAGCAGTTCGAAACTACCAGCCATTCCATGGGAAAAAGATGAGGCTTTCTGCTCCCGTAAAGATTTACAGCCTCGGAAACCCTGTGCAGGGTCACTATGAGTCGCAACTAACTCCCCACTGTACTTAACAACAACAACTGGTCTCAGCACAGGGACTCCCTAGTCCAAATGACAGACTCTGCTCCCATCTTCTTTGTGCAAGGAGTGAGGTCCCTCTGGGAAAGCTCATTTTAAGCTCCTTGGGATGGCAAAACGAACCAATCCCCTGTTAGGGTTCCTATACCATATTTGCATAGTTGTTGTTCTTAATGCCGTCGAGTCGAGTTGGTTCTGACCCATAGCGACCCTGTATAGGGTTTCCAAGGAGTGACTGGTGAGCTTAAACCACTGACCGTGAAGTTCAAGGCTTTGCAGTCTGGCCCATTAACCCACACACCACCCCAGCAAAGTACCACCCCCAAAAGAGTGCCAAGCACCTTATTTGCATTACCAGCAAGCTGTCAATCTCCTTGGCCAACCACAAGCACCTTATCTACATAAACCTACCCATCATTTAGTTAGTGGAAGTTAAAAGACCAGAGCAAGAAAAGTCATACAACAGTGATTCATCACACTGCAGCCAGCAAGGGCAGACAGAAGGACTGACACAAAGGCTATAATGATGAACTTGGGCATGACAGCAATCATGACACAAGACTGGGGGTGGGCGGCAGTGTTTCATTCTGTTGCACATAATGTCACCATGAGTCCATGAGTTGAGTTGACCAAACAGTAGGCATCTACCTATCAAAATAAACGGAAAGACATTCCATTTTTATGGAATGGATGACTTAATATTGTTGAGATGTCAATACAACTGAAAGTGATTTATACATTCAACACAATCCCTGTATCATAATTCAGGTAGCCTTCTTTGCATAAATGGAAACGTCAATCCTCAAATTTACCTGGAATTATGAGAGAGATGCTATTAATAGCCAAAGGAGCTCTGGTAGCGTAGTGGTTATGAATCGGGCTGCGAACAGTAAGGTCAGCAGTTCGAAACTACCAGCTGTTCCACGGGAGAAAGATGAGGCTTTCTGCTCCCATAAAGATGTACGGCCTCGGAAACCCTGTACAGGGTCGCTATGAGTCGGAACCGACTCCACGGCACATAACAACAACAACAACAATTAATAGCCAAAGTAAAACTGTAAAAGAACAAAGCACTATCAAAGCTACAATAATTAGAACAGTCAGGTACTAATATAATTCCACGTGGAATTATACTAGTGGAATATGAGTGAACTCCAAAAAGTTTGTGAAAAGCAATGAAGCTGGACTCATATGTCACACCACATATAAAAATTAACTCCAAATGTATCAAATACCTAAAAGTAAGAACTAAAATCTTCAAACTCTTAGGACCAAACACACAAGCAATGCTTCAAGACGAAGTTTTAAACAATGGCTGGAAAGCAGGGGCATTGGAAAGATACAGGAACACCACCGTTCATGGCAACAGTCCTCATAAAAGCCAAAAGGTAGAACAACCACATGCTCTTCAAGAGATGAATGGATAGGCAAAATGTGGTACACCTGCCTGCGGCTCACCTGGCAACTACCTTGTTATCCAACATTTCCCATATACTACAAAAGTGAAAAACCTAGCCTTGATCTATTTTGTGTATTAGTGACAGTAATGCATGACAGGGTGCACGCGGGAGTAGTAGGTGAAAGCTGTGATGGTTAAGGTTAGGTGGTAACTTGACTGGGTCATGACTCAGTGGTCTGACAGCTAGCTATAAAATGCCATTTGGCAGTAACATCATTTTGTAGCCCTCCTCCATTTTGCGATCTGATGGGGTCATTTTCCATATTCACTAACGCTGATTTCTGAATAATGACCAGGTCTTTGGAACTTAACCATGACAGCAAGTGAAGTGTGGAAATATACAACGGAGTAGGTCGCTGTTGTTAACTGCCATCAAGTCAGTTCTGACTCATAGTGACTCTAGGGTTCCCAAGGAGCAGCTGGTGGGTTTGAACTGCTGACCTTGTGGTTAGCAGTCTAATGATGATGCTACAGAGCCACACCAGGAGTATGTTGTTGTTGTTATTAGTAAGTGCCGTCAAGTCGGTTCCGACCCATAGCGACCCTGTATAGGGTTTCCGAGGAGCGACTGGTGAGCTTGAACTGTCAACCTAGCAGTTCAAACAGCTTTGCGGTCTGGCACATGAACCCACAACGCCACACCAGGAGTATACTCAGCCACAAAGAGAAATGAAGTCCTGAAACATGCTACAACATGGATCAACCTTGAAAACATGAGCGAGCACACAATGTCAGTCATAAAGGGCAAATACTATAGGAACTCATTTACATTAAACATCTACTCACATAGGCAAATGTATAAAGACCCAAGCTTATTAGTGGCTACACCTGGCGGCACCTGCTTAGTGGGCACTAAGATTCTATTCAGGGTAACAGAAAAATTTGGAAACAGATAGTGGTGTTGAGTGCACAGCATGATGAACACAATGTCATAATATAACCAAACTGTACATGTAAAAAATGCTCAATTGGCCAAATGTTTTAGTATGTATATTTCGTCACAATAATTTGTTGTGAATTTTTAAAGAAAAATTCTCTACTATAATTTTTTGTAACATTCGGGTAAGACATGGGTCTTTACCCACCTGGAAAAAAAAAATTCTCCACTTTCATTTCATTATTACAATCCAAAACTCAAACTTAATATCAAGATAAAGTATAAAAATACTGTTTTACTTCTGACGGCTATTTATTATTGAGAGTAAACCCTTTGTAACA